GAATTCTCAATGAATTTCTAAATATCAACAAGATGTCATTGTCTTTGAATTAATTTTACTTGAACATACTTATGTTGTATACACATGGTTTATAAAAATAAAAAAAATTTAGTTATATGTATATAATATTAAATTGGATAAGCTCAAGGTGATTCCTAATTATAAAAATTTATTAGTTTATCAATCATTTTTACGTTTACTATTTGTCCTTAAAAAATTAGAAATAGGCTTAGGTCCATATTCAGAATATGTTTTTTTTATTAATAAAAGCTTTTATCTCTGAAATTCTATAACATGCATAACATACAGTATATGCCAGCAAATGAGAATGAATTGAAAGGAATTGAAATGGATTCAGATTTTCAGAAATATTCACGAATGTTAAAATGAATTTTCAATCCTGAATGCATTTTTATTCATTTATAGGGATTTATCTCTATGCCTTTCAATCTAAAAATAATATTAGCTTTTTCTGTGCATTGTGAATATTGTTCAATTCAAAATTTTGAATAGGAAGTGCAGTTTTTCAATCCAATTGCATCCAATTGAATCTAATTAAATCCAAAAAAAGTATTTGCTATTTAAAATACATATTCGAATAGAAAAAAATTTGAATTCATTTTAATCCATTCTTGTTTACTGGAATGTTAACATCGTTGTAAGCGTGTTCTGAATATGAGCCTTAGTTTACATCGTGCACTTAATACAGGTGATTAGTAATTTTCAATTGAATTATCTTAATTTTGGCAATACTTGTAAACATATACACGAGATGTATATTTAATTAATCATTTTGATGCAATTTAGTACAACATTCTTTGAATTACATCGCTGAAATTAAAATAATTTAATAGAAAGTTACTAGTTAGTAAATGCATGATGTAAACTAAGTCATAAATTCTTCACCTGAAACAAGTTTTTATCAGCATCAAGATCATTCCTTTTCATCAAGGAATTATAGCATATACCATACTTTGACAAGTTATTGTGATGTATTATATTGGTTATATATATGTATATATGTACTCAATGAGAATGGATTAAAATGGATTGAAATTTTTTTCTATTCGAATGCGTATTTTAAATAGTGAATAGCGTTTTTTTGGATTTAATTGGATTCAATTAGATTCAATTAGATACAATTGGATCGAAAAACTGTATTTTCTGTATTCAAAATTTTGAATTTAACAGTATTCACAATTGCATAGAAAAAGCTAATACTACTTTTAAATTGAAAAGCATAGAGATATTCTGTGCAATTTCTATAAATGAATAAAAATGTATTCAGGATTGAAAAACATTCGTTTTAACAGAGAATCAATATTTCTGAATCCATTTTAATTCACTTCAATTCATTCTCATTTGCTGGGTATGTTTTTAATGGTTACGCAAATGGTTATTGCAGTAATTTGCATAAAGAATTAAAGAAGTAATGAAACTAACAATATCATCCTTTCTTTTTTACAACAATGCTCAACATCAAAAGCAACATTCAACATTATTGATCGTTCATATTAAACAACTGTTAATAGTATTGTCAAGATAAAATTTGATGAATGACGTATGTCATCTCATTCCCGCGAAAAATGAGTGAAAAATATATATGCGGAAGCTGAGCCAACATTTTCATGAAAGAGGTTAAGCTGTATACGTTTTTCAAAGATTTTTTTTCTCATTATACTCGATAGTTGCAGTTTGTGACATATATATATAGGCGGTAGACAAAACAGAGATCGAGAGGAGTTGAACGACGATACCGATCTCGATGATAAAGTTCGGAGCGTCGCGAGAGGCAGACGCGACACAACTATTATCAATTAGTCGCGTAAATACCGGCTTAACCTATAAACGAAACATCTTTATTGTCGCCCCATCGAATTCGGCTGCCCATTTCTTTATCTCTTTGCATCGACAACGCGACAATCAACGATATAATCAAGAAGTTTTACCTTTTCCGTTGTAGCATTTTCCTTCTCCATCATATTTCTCGTACGAAAAATTGCTTTCTAAACCTAAACACTTATGTCCCTTTGTTAAAACGTGCAAGATCAAACAGGAAGGCGCTACTGTCGTTATATTCCTTCTCTTGTCGTCAAGCGATCAATTCTCTTTTTTATAAATCGCCGTTTGTTCTTAGTTATATATCTTCCAATGCTTTTTTCTTGCATCTAAAATAAAATAAAAAATATATTTCATTTTTTCGAGAAGTGAAAGGGAAAAACGGAATATGAAATACAATGCTGAAATACCGTGGATGTCGCTGCATGCGCATGGTCAAAAGCACAATCGATTTTTCAAATGAGAATCGCGCGAAAACATCGAGATTGCGAGAGAATGATTCAGCAACTCTGATTCAGCAGCTCTGAAATATTCTGATGCGATTACGAATGTAAAATTCAGCGCCAAAACAATCCATTGTATTGACCTTTGATCAGTTATGTATGTACATATCTCAACAAAACAATTGTAATAATGTAAACTATATTAGTATTAAATTTTTCACGAAAGATTATTGATAAGATTTGCGTAATAACCTATTTTAAGAAACAATTGAGTCTTTGTGATTGTGACAATCAGTCTTGCATTCTGATAACTGCTATCTCTCTGGATTCAAATATTCGAAAAGAAAACTCAAAGTATATGCATATCTAGCTACTTGAAACTACAATACAAAATTTAAATTATATTTCACTATTTCAATATGTCCTTTTTAATATATTTTAATTAAACCAATATAAAGCTTTTTTTTTACAAGTATAATTGACTTTTTGTATAGGGCTAAGTAAAGAAACAAATGAATAATTCTTTTATCTTTTTTTATATTTGATGTTTTTTTTTCGGTGTTATGACATTTTTCTTCACTGCCTTGATTATTTATGCGCGCACGTGCACGCGAAAAATAATTTCAAAGACGCGGGATTAGATCTCAAGCAAATCGATTATTACATATTTATCTTTTAAACAATTCCTACAATTAATAAAAGCGATCCTATACAAATGTATTGGTAAATGAGCACTTTTTGTTCACGACACTTGCCACGCCGTTCACATGAATTACGAGAAAAATACAGTTAATCGATAGTATTTAATGAGTAACTAATTATTAATGGTTATAATAATTGCGATAGATTTTTTCTTGTATAAATACATATTAAATAGGGCTAGGTGAGTTTCTTGGCTTTCTGGTAAAGTGTATCGACGACTTTTCCCATGCTGTGTATCGTGTCTAATGCAATTTCGTAGGTCTTGTCGCGTGGTGCATCTTCGAAAACAATTAAAACACCTTCTCCTTGGTCGAGAACCCCTCGTAGCTTCTTGTCCAAAATCATCTGCGACAGTTTCTTTTCTACTTGCGCCAATGGCAGAGATATGCACGAAGCAATATGACTCACCTTTGAAAAAAAATCCATATGTAAAAGAATAAAAATTATTTTATTAAATATTATTGTTCTTAAAATTTATTTTTTCAAATCACTTAATGAATCAATATGAATATTTGATTTCTTCTCAAGTTTAATTTTGTCATTATTTTCTATAATTGGCACGTTAAACACTTTGGCAATTGAAATAAATTACATTTTAAAAAGTTAAGTTCTGTCGTGATGCGAATTGTTTAATTTTCGGTAATTAATAAGTTTGAACGTATACATAACATATATTTTTTTTACACATACATACATTTATCTATTTTTATCGAGAAGAACTCAATTGATAAATAACTTATAGTTGCAAAGAAATTTAAGAGTTCCCATGTATTCGTGTAGGTACCTGGACTCGTGAGTAAGGTTCGACTAAACGACATAAATTTTGTTCCAGCATAGCATCATAGAGAGAACCAAGATGTGCGCGTACAATTACATCGTCTTCCAATTCTTGTCGGTATTCTTTAACCGCCTTCTGAAAATCTGCTAATGATCGTCGATGACTAGCTTCGGCTACTGCCCGCATCGCATCTAGATCCAATCCCGCATATTTTACAGTCAGTTTGCCAGACATGATAGCCTGAACATCTTCTGGTGTACGCAACATGATTTTAGATAATAACATATATTTGAGCGCCGTTAGCGCCTTAGGACTTTCAACACTGTCATACCTAAAAATACAAACACAAAGATAGTACATGTATCGTGTAATAGGCAAAAATAGACTATATTTAAAATACTGATTGTAATACCCTTCGAAAGCTTCGTAAAAGTAAGAGTAAGCAGTCTTAAAATCTCGTTCGTCTGCAGCATGTAATATTCCTGATTGAAGATCCAAAGCCGCTTGCATCTTGGGTGGACAGTAAATCGCATTGGCAGTTGTCCTCGCGCTTGTAAGCGCTGCCCTTGCTTTTGCTAAATTACTCAATGCATGATATGTCTTGCTCTCTAATAATTGAACTTCTACTAATAACTGTTTGTCATCAAGTTTTTTGAGTTCTTTGAGGAGAGCAGATCCCAATTGCAATGCTTCACTGAACATACCCGTGTCAAAATAAAGGGCTATTAAGCGTGCTTCTAATGATTGCCTTAAAAATGTTCTGCGTTCCTCTTTTGCCCATTCTATGCATTCTTTACACAATTGCACCTAAATATATAACCCATATAAGTATATATTTCTTATTTTGTTTTTTATAATAGATATAAAAAGTTTATTTTTTTTAATAGATTAAAGGTTAAATCTATCATATGTATACTTATATAGTCTATGTGTACGTGTATGTATCTGTGTGTGATACGCTCGCGCGTGCGCGTATACATGTGTGTATATATACAATGTCTTACTTTTAAAATAAGATTAGAGTTTTTAACTAATACTAAAGAATTATAACTTTTGTGAAAATAAACTTAAAAGAATATATCCTGATTGATGAATTATATTTTCTATTTATACAGAGACAAATGAAGAATGTATATAAAAATGATACATATCCTATAAATTTAGATGTGAATTGTTTGGACTTTAATCATATTATCATTATTAATACTTTAATTCATATTATCATTATAAGTTCTATATATTGTTTGATTAAAGAGTATATTATACTGAGTATTTTGACAAGCATCTAATTTTATTATATTTTTCGTTGGTCGAAGCAGAACTGTCACAGCATAACCTACCTAATCCTACCAAATATTCACTGATAGATGAAATGTATTACCTCGATACCGATACCAGCCTCTAAATCTAGGAAGAAGTCAACTAAGGACCGCACGAGCTTGGCAGCCTTTGCTTTACTAATAAGACTGAGAAACGGTCTGGTGGCTTTGATCAAGTCGGCTAATTCTTTCGCTTTGCCCTCTTTCTTGTAGAGCTCGCCCAAATGTAGAATACCTTGCTCCTTGACACGGATATTGTCCTCGTCATCTTCGGCGACGCCGATACTTGGGTCTGAGACGATCTCGTTCAGCAATGAGATCCCCTCGCTGCGATTTGTCATCGAAACAGCCTGAGCCCGCTCGAATAACATCGCACCGGCCATCTCGAGCGATTAGTGCCGCTTCCTCGCGTAAAAACGTTAATCTCCTCCAACGGCGCAATCTACTGGATACTTGTATTCGCTGATGCGACTGCAAGGGCTGAAGGGAAAAGAAGTATGTCACGACGCAAAGTTGCGAATCTCAAAGGAAATGTAACGTACGAAGATTCGTCCTGTCCCGTCGTGTGTACAATTTATACAGTGTGTAGTATAGTGTAGTGATCTACACTGCGCGCGATTTAAAGCGGCTGCAACCTCACTCTCGCGTGCACGAGTCGCAAGAGTATGTATTACGTACGTCTACGTTTACTTGCGCTTGCTTGCGCTCACAATACCCTCCACTCGCGCTTTCTAACTTGTCACTCCTCACCGCGCTCGCCAACATTCGCCAGATTCCCGATACATCGCAAAACTCATGTCATGCTGCTACGTAAGTCAAATCAACTACTGTTCTGTCATTATATCCATGATGATAAGAAGACAAGATTAACAAGAGCTGTGTTCAGTAGAGAAAGCAGCTTTGCAACTATGTAAAATTCTTGGATATGATTGGTTTAATTCCAATTAGAGTCTCTAGATTACCAGAGTCTGACCAATCTCCTCCATCCTCTCTTGTGATTGGTGTGTCCACATAATACCAATACAGTACCAATCGAGAACGCACATACATTCATATCACCAATTGAGAGCAAACACACATTTCGGACATGCACGCCATTTTTAGGGAATGGACAGACTTTGATATTTTACAGATTCTAGATCCAATGAGGAACTAAGGGCAAGACTAATATTGAATTTTACACATTTGCAAAGTTGCTTTCTCTACTGAACGCAGCTAAGAGTGCATTCCAATCGGTCACAGAAAAGTTGCAACATTTTTTTCCGATGAGTTTCGGAATGCAGCTTGCTCACCGAGCGATTGGTTCTTATTTATGGATCCACAAAAATTGTGACCAAAATTTGATTAGCTATTCCAATATGTCAGCACTATACGCAGGTAAGTGCAGAGGCCAAAATTTAGGCCGTAGCATAGATTCTTGCATAATACATAATGCATAATGCATAAGAGAATCAACCAATCAAAATTCTTCTTTTCCATAGAATGGAAGGAAAGAAAAGATTCTGATTAGTTAATTCGCTTATGCACTATGGATTATGCGGTATGCAAAAATCTGTGCGGTCTTTTGATTGTTTCTAGTATTGCTATCGCCATTATGCACAATGTACACCTTGTAGTCTTAGCATTCATTTCCATTTCTTAAGGTTTAAAAACCTATTGTAGATCCGTGTTTAGGCCCGTATTCAAAACGCAATTATCGATAAAAGCGCGCTTTTATCTCTGAAATTCTATACTATGTGTAACGTAAAGTATAATATGCGCGATAACATTATAGAATTATATATATCTACACAACCTTGCATAGCCGCATAAACAAATATACATAAAGAAAATTATCCAATTACATTTTACATGCATCTTTATAAGAGAAATGCAATTAGATCTTTATGCATATGTTTATACGACTATGCAAGTTGTGTGGATATATCCTTAGGGTGCCGCCCCATGATGTGTATCGTCGTATAGAAGGATTCGATCAATAGCCTAGTTTCCACTGAAGGATTAAACCGGATCAGAATGTAAGAATCAATCAATTAGTTGAGCATCCCTCTGTCGTTCGACTGTAACAGGGCAATACTTGACTGTAGACACCGTTTTATGTAGCCCGAACTGATTGGTGAAAAGAACGGTTGTGGTGGAGGTAAAATTTACCTCCATCATCCGTTTTTCACTAATTAGCATTTGGTGTCAAAGCTCTATTGAAACCAGCAAACGAGAATGGATTAAAATGGATTGAAATTTTTTTCAATCTGAATGTGTATTTTAAATAGCGAATATTTCTTTTTGGATTTAATTGAATTCAATCGAATTCAATTAGATTCAATTGGATGCAATTCGATTGAAAAACTGCATTTCCTATTCAAAATTTTGAATTGAACAATATTCACAATGTGTTGTGCACAGAAAAAGCTAATATTATTTTTAGATTGAAAGGCATAGAGATATGCTCCATGCAATTCCTATAAATGAATAAAAATGCATTCAGGATTGAAAAGCATTCATTTTAACATTCGTGAATCAGTATTTCTGAAAATCTGAATCCATTTCAATTCGTTTCAATCCATTCTCGTTTGCTGCCTAGACTCTACCCTGAAATGTTTCACTTTTTAAATTAAAACAGTTCTGAGGTCTTTCTAAAATATTTCTTTGCTGTATGGGTATTCAAATGCTACAAAAAAATGCATAAAATTTTGCTTTAAAAAACACTTTATGATTTCATTTTAGAAGCCAATTTTGGGGCTCACTTTAGATGAAATGCTGCGCTCTTTATCCTTCTCGCCCAGGTGATTCTTGTTTACGAGTAAATGCTCTTCGAGCATCCGAGGTTATCTATCGGAGATATGTAATTTAATGCATGTGAAAGATTTTAGAAACAACTTAATTGAAAGGTTTGCAAAACGATTTCATATGAAATGTTACAGAAATAATTCAACTGAAAGTTTTGTAAAATTGTGTTCATATGAACAATTTCAGAAACATTTCTGCTGCAACATTTCATGTGATATATTGCAAAATTCTTTCAGAATTGTTACATATGAAATGTGAAAGATCGAAATGATTTTGAAACCTTACTGAAAGTTTTCTGCAACTATCAGTGTTGTATGGGAAGCATCCAATTTATAGAATCAAAACTGAATATTTCATTATATTTGTGAATAAATAATTGAATATTTAATTTTAAAGATTAATTAGAAATTCGTTTTGATGAAATTCATCATAAAAGTCACAACAAAAATGATATTTTTAAGCGTCCGGAAACTGGTACATTTAAAGTACTGGTACATTTAAAGATGGTTCCAATCACCGGACTCGTATATGCAAACCCAACTTGTGAGATTAGAGTCACATAGTCTTACTTTTATAAACATTATGGAATTGTTCGGTAAATATAATAATTGCATATTTTTAAAGACTTAATTACATGTAAGACTTTTTAAAACTATTCATCGATAATTTCTTTTATTAACATATGTTAAAATAAGTTATTAATGTATAATAGCATATGTTAAAATAAGTTATTAATGTATAATAGATTATTTATCATAATCAAAGTTAAAAATCTTCTTTTATAATCTCATTGAGCAAGTGTCTTTAAAATCATGCATGTATAATTAGATTAGTGATTAAAAATCAATAGAAAAGTAAACTTACTTTTACAGATAAAAATGAAAACAAAACAGCAGTAGGGTAAAAGGTATGCCTGATCAGTTATAAATGATGCAACACATGCTATTCAGCGAGAGATTTCGATTAGATGAGCCAGCAAAATATATGGAATTCCAAAAACTACGCTGCATGATAAATTTAAAAACAAATCACAAATTGAATCTACAATGAGACCATCGACTATTCTGTCTTCAAAAGAAGAAAGTTAATTAATTGAGTTAGTTAATTGAATATTGTATATGAGTGAAAGAAGCTTTCCGATGAACCAAGGAACAACTGTTAGACAGTGTACAATTATTAATAAAACAGTTATAGAAAGAAGATTCTTTTATGAACAACAGGTCCGGATGTCATTGGTATGAATCATTTATTCGTCAACTTGAGCTATGCACATCGAGTTGCACAGAATTTAACGACTTAGAGCATTAGTTAATGAAAATTGTTTAAGAACATGATTTCATGAAGTTCAGTAATACTTGTTAAAGAAAGAATTGCTTTCTATTGATGCTTCATGATATTTTAATTGTGATGGAAGCTCCTTTTTATTGTGCTCGAGCAAATTATTGTTAAAAAAGATGCTAAATCAGTATACAAAATTGTAAATTGTTGACGAAAAAGAGGCACTGACAACATTAGATTAATGATTAGCTTTCAGAGTTATAGTACCTCCCATGATAATGTACGCTTACAAAAGAATGCCAGCAACTAACGCAGAATATCCTCAAAGAATGGAGCATTGGAACTTCAAACGGACGGATGACTGTTGAGTCATTTTATGAATATTATATATTACTAACGTATTTTACCCGCTGAAAATCAATAATATTGTATTTCCCATCATATTATTCATTTTCTCGCACTTGCCTTTGAGTAATTTTTGTCAACAGCATGAAATAGAGTTAATAGCTCTGTATCCAAACGCCACACACATTTTGTAGCCATTAGATGTAGCGGTTTTCCATCCTTTAAAATTGGTTTGGAAGAAAACTGTCTAATTGGAAATTAGAAAATAATGAAACCGCCTAAAAAAAGACATGTTTGCCACTGTTAAAAAAGACTCTTGATTCAATAAATCTTATTTCTATGGCTAAAAATAAATTTCAAACATGTGGACTCTAATCTTTTATACTTAATGCTGTGGATTTTAATATTTTAAACAAACAAAAGAAATCCAAGAACCAATTGAATATTAAACCTAATCAAACAGATTCGATAAAACAGTTTATTAGTTTTTTTGAACAGCAATTGCCAGAAGAAATGCTTCAAACATTTAAAGCGGTGGAGATAGTAGGAGTTTGGAATGGTGAAATTAAAAATGAAGATCTTTTTCAGTATTGGCTGAAGTTAAGTTTACTGAGGGACTTCTATGAAATATATGAGATGTTAGTGGGGGGTAAAGAGTTCATCTTGCGCCAGTTCCTGAATATATAAAGTTTCTTAGAATAAGAAGAGTTAGTGAGGGAGGGTAAGAGTCAAAATCTTATATCTTATTTATTCGTGGGTAAGCTATATCTGAGGATCCTAGCAAGAGGATCCTAAGGGAACTAGGAAATTTCCAAATCCGCCAATTATAAAAGGTATGATTGTAAAAAAAATTATAATAAATGCATGGTTAGTAAGAGAATTGTAAATTTGATCATTATTAATTAGATTGTCACATGATCTTAGTTCTAATCGGATAATTATACTTATAGATAATCCAAGTAAACTAGATAGCTAGAATAAAGTAAAAAATTCCAATATCTTTATGATTGGTAGAAAATAATCATTTGTTCATATTATAAATATGATATTGTAAAAAGTTTAATTATATGTGAATAGAAGAGGAAAGGGAAGAGAGGGAAAGTAGATATAAAAGTATGAGTGGGTGATTAAGAGAAATAAAAATAATATATTTTTTAGATAAGGAGTAGAAATTTTATGTTTAATAAAATTTAATATGGATAATTTTAGAGCATTAAATAAAAGATAGAAAAATATAAAAATAATTTTTACTTCTTCATAAGACCGGAAGTGCTGGTCAGCCAGGCCGTGTGCCATTGATCGAAATAAGTGATAGTCAGAGGGAGCAACGTCTGGAGAATACGGCGGGTGAGGTAGGACTTCCCATTTCAACGTTTCCAAGTATGTCTTGACTACTTTCGCAA